TAAGGATATTATGAATCTGTTTAGGTAATTGTAGTTTTTTTTTTTTTTTTTAATTGTTGTTTTCTGTCTGTTTTCAGGAAGCAGTTTTTATAAGGAATTTGCATAATTTGATGTAAACGTGGTCATCAAAGTAATTTTGAGACAGGTTATTTTTATTTTAGTTTCGTACAGCTATTGCATTTATTTGCAATTTCACACATCACATTTATTATTCCTTGTTTCACTTATTTACGTCATAGTACACATGAATCTTTAGTCATCTTCCATTGCAAATGACATAAAAGTAAAGGTAATTTCTTACAAGTCCCCAAGTTCTCTTCACAAACTTTATTTGACAATGCGCTTTATTTATGGTATTGCTGTTTGTGTTGAGTGGCTTGAAAGGCTGGGCACACACAAGCAATCGTATGTCATGACACAACTCTGTGCCTCCCCTTTGCAATGTTAATTTTTCTCTTTTTGCATAGGCTTTTTTAGTTTTTTTGCCATTTTACAGTGTCCATATTTGTCATTTGATTTGCTAGAAATGGGATTCTGAGCTTTTTCTTGAAGGTCACATCATCTGGATTGAAGGGGTTAAACCTAGGGGCACATCCTCTCGAGACTGAGTCCCATAATTGGTAGAGCCTTCTATCATTCTGGCAAGATAGAATGATTTACTTGTTGTATCTTAACAGTGTAGTGATGGAGGTTTCTTGGCCTCTGTTGGATTTTCAGAAGTTGAGGTCACAGTCATTGCTGAAGATACTGATGAATATGCCTGTATGTAATTCTCTCTCTCTCTCTCTCTCTCTCTCTCTCTCTCTCTCTCTCTCTCTCTCTCTCTCTCTCTCTCTCTCTCTCTCTCTCTCTCTCTTCTCTCTCTTTCTCTCTCTTTCTCTCTCTCTCTCTCTCTCTCTCTCTCTCTCTCTCTCTCTCTCTCTCTCTCTCTCTCTCCTCTCTCTCTCTTCTCTCTCTTTCTCTCTCTTTCTCTCTCTCTCTCTCTCTCTCTCTCTCTCTCTCTCTCTCTCTCTCTCTCTCTCTCTCTCTCTCTCTCTCTCTCTCTCTCTCTCTCTCTCTCTCTCTCTTTTGCATTGTCACATTCACTCTCACTCTCACTGTACAATATTGTAGATTTCCATTAAGATGTTTAATATACTGCAATAGCTAGCTATATATTTATCTTTAAGGTTGGGAGTCCAGTTACTTCAGCCAAGATGTTACCAGTCCACTAGCATTGATGAGGACAAGACAACAGCTACTATTTTAAACCAGGAGACAGATTCTGGCCTTATGGTAGATGCATACAGCCAGGTAAAATATATTCTTGTGTTTGGGTGGTGATTGTTCCATGAAGCGGTTACTGAGTGTTTTGTTTTCAGAGAATTGTTCAGTTATTCTTAGCTTTCAGTGGGTATATCGGTTATTCTAACCAAGAATGAATGAAGGTGTGAGCTGAATTAAAGTAATTGATATGCTTTAATCTGAATTATAATTTTTCTGCTACTTCATTACACAGTATGTAGTGGTATTTAAAGCTGAAGTATTTGTACAGATTGCATTAATCTTGAAATATATTATAGAGCTGAATTTATACCATGCAATTATTAAATTGATTGAATCATTTATGTTTGAATGATATATGAAAGACATAATTGAAATAACCAAGGTAGCTACCTAGGCAGGAATTCTTAAAAAGTAAGAGCTTTTTTAAGCAATACTCACTGTATTATTATATTGGGTATATGTATAAACATACTCTATTAAGAACATGTATATTTTCAGGATGGATTCAGACTGAATAATGGGATGAAAGTATTGGGCCCCATTGCTATATTCCCTAGATCCATTCTTAGTTGGAAGGTGAAATCTGCAGAGGATATCAATGAAGATTCACTGTCTCTCTTTCACATGTTGGTACCTAAAATTGGTAAGTTTTTAGTAACCTTTTAGTTTTTTCACTTATTTGTTTGATTTCTTAGTTTGTTTTCCCCTGTTGACTGCCTGCTCTGTGCTATGACTGAAGTTCATGTCATTATTCACAAGCAGGAATAGATCTGTTACATCTACTTTTTTCTTTAATCTCTATTCCTTCAACAGATTATTACGTAGGGCCTGGACTCCTACTTGGCTTTTATATTTATCAGTACTGAATTCATGTTGTTTTCACTTTGCCCACTTACAAATGGCTTGTAGGTCCTTTTATAGTTAGTCCTCTCCCACTGTTTAATTTAACCCAATGTCAGCAGGTTTATTTACTCTCCCCTTTAGATTTGAGTGAGTTTTGTTACATACAGATGGCTCCATGTGTGCTCAGGAATAAGGAATCTATCTGTACCCCTAGTGACTGATACTAATTTCCCCATTCCTTGAATTGGCGGGGAAATGTGTTACTCTGGATTGTTTAACATCTATATTAATGTCTCCAGTCTTAATTAGGAGCTACAGGGGACCAAGAACTGAGCCTTGTGGTACTCCTCTTTGAATAGTTAATTTGGTAGAATAATACTATATAACAGTT